AGTTAGCATCTCTGCTCCCTTGCTACTGACTTCTCCACCACCACTCCTACCCACTATCTACTTCTCTCCCCAAGGTCAACACTTAGCTCCCTCAGGGCTGAAACCACCAATCATGTCCCCCAGCTCCATCCCTCAGACCACGGGGCCCCTCAGCCGCCCACCTGACCTCTCCTCCGAAGAGTCCCCTCAATACATCCCCTACCCAGGGCCAGTCTACAGAGCTACGGCCACCAATCACAACATGCCAGGCAGCCTGTCCTGATGGAGCATGGCGTCAGAGCAACACGAGGCTTCACAAAGGTTGAAGCCTCGAGAGACTTTCTGTCTCTCTTTTTCTCTGTCCCTACCTCACTTTCTGTCCTAGCGATGAAACAGTGAGGTTTTGAGTAGACGTGAGCAGGATTTTCTTTGACAGTCAAAGTTGCAAATAAAAACTGCATCGTTGTCAATGTACGGAGTCACAAGAAAACTGCTCAAAAACAATACAAGCGAACAGCATAAGCCCTGGAATACATTTAATATGACCAATTAATTATACATGGCAACGCATGTGTATCAAAGCAAAGATACTTCCTTTTAGAATCAAATCATAGCTACTGTAGCCTTGGCATAAATGAAAAACCGCATGTTATATGGTCAATTTGATGCAGTATGCAGCAGGAATATCAAAGGTTCCTTATTAAAATGTTAGGAATGGCCATAGAGACCTAACATCAACTTAAGTTAGACCTTGCAGTAAATCTATTCATAATTCAAATTTTCCTTTATCTCTTTTTGGATATTATGCTACAACCAGACTGCTACAAAAATACATTTGTGTCTGTTGATAAACAGGCAGGGAGTAAGTGATAGAAAGGATATTGAGGCAATGGAGGGTAGTTTAAAAATAGAAAAACTGTCATGAAAGCGGAGAAAGAAAAAGACAAGAGAGGAGAGTGAAAAATAGGGGGAAAGATTAGGAGCTATAAGAGGTTGCAACAAAATGAACCATAACATATGCCAAGAAAGCAAAAAAGACATTATCTCTTGTTGTATGCATGTGAGTGCATGTATGATATACAACTATACTGAGGGAGGAAAGCTGCTTCTAAACTGTAAGAAAGGAATGTGCAAGAAATGGTGCACTATCATGCTGGAAGTGGCGATTAGAAGCTGGTAAATTGATGATTGATTGGTATTAAGGGCCAAGAAAACATCCCACACAGCATTACATTGTTGCAGCCACCCACGACTATTGACAAATGGCTGGTTGGGTCCATGGATTCATGCTGTTGATGCCAAATTCTACCATCTGCAGCCTCAGCAGAAATCCTCATTCATCAGACGAGGTCTTGAACTGACCAGTTTTAGTGAGTGTGTCCACTGCAGCCTCAGGTTTCAGCTCTTGGCTGGCAGGAGTAGATCCTGATGTGGTCTTCTCGACATTGTTAATATAACCAAAGACCAAAACTAATTATATAGAACAGGAAGACATGAACATTCTGTATATGACAACAAAAACATTAAATAAATAAACAATGTATTGCTGGAGGCTCTAAGCATTAAAATAAGTTTTTCATTTTTAAAAGTTGTACAGTTTTTCCACAGTCTCTAAGTTTTCAACTGGTCTTCCGTCCGTTTGTGGAACTTGCTGAGTGTTTATCATATTATCCTCTGTTCTCTACAGAAAAGTGGGCCTTATATGCATCACACTGTGGTTAGCTAGGATTAACTGGCAGAATCATTTACTCTGTATGTGTGTGTGTGTGTGTGTGTGTGTGTGTGTGTGTGTGTGTGTGTGTGCGTTCTGCCTACTGTGTTTTTCCACAACTTTGGGATGAGATCTGAGAGGAAACGGACAGATTTCCATCTGTCTGCTCCATTTGCAAAAAATGAAAAAAAAAAAACCTTCTTGTGATTCAAATATATGCTTTAGCCACCTCTCTCTCTCTCCATCTCTTCCCCTCCCTCTCCTCCATCTCTCCCTCTCTTTCCAAGTGGCATCTGTAGATGACCAGGGCATCAAGAGTCTCTGGGGCTGAGGGAGGAATAGGGGGAGCAGGAGGGGGAAAAGAGAGGAAATGGAGAGGGGAGAGAGAGAGAGAGAGAGAGAGAGAGAGAGAGAGAGAGAGAGAGAGAGAGGGAGCAAGCGCCTCTCACTTCACATTTCCCCAGCACCACCCCGGCGTGCCAGCCAGCCTGCAGTCTGTTCTCCTTTGAGCTTTCTATTCTACCACAGAACAGAAAAAAATCAATTCATATTTCCATAATCCACACTCCTGTCTGTCTTCATGTCTTCGCCTCTCCCCCCTCCTTCCATCCCTCTCTTTCTCTCGCTTTTCTGTCTCCTTCTCTCTCCCCTTCTCCCCTGGGGTAGACTAACCCCTCCACCCCGATCCTACGGCCTACAAATGTCACTACGCAGAGCAACAATAACGGCCTAAACAAAAGGAGGCCTTGCTCTGAGCTCTGAGCCCCTCTACAGAGACTGTTGGCTGCTGCTGCCATATGCTGGCCAGCTCGGGCCGCGGAAAGAGACAGGAGACCGTGGCTACAGAGGACTCCAGCCTACAGCCCCACAAAGGAGGAAAGGAGCCCTAATCCTGGTAATGAGGCCCGTGAATACAGCCTTTATGTATATGGGGGAAAGGGCCAATCCCTCTGTACACAGCACGCTAACTAGCCATCTTAAGGGCCATCTTATCCACACAAACGATCTGGTTGACAACAGAATGAAAGAAAAGTGAGGTGGTGGGGGGGCTAAAAAAGAAGACATGCTGGAGGAGAAGGATGAGACAGGCTCATGTCAACACACACACACTATGTTTGCACTATTTCCCCCCCCATTTCATCTCTCTTGGTTTCAGTTGCTCTTTTCACTCGTCTTCCTTCACTAGCATTTCCTGTGCCTACCTCTGTAAGTCTGTAATTTCTTGCTCACACTCTCGTTCCCTCACTCCCTCTACCACTTACTCTGATAGCATGCTCTGGTTCTTGTGGGGCAGGCAGACATTGCCTGAAGCATCTTTTTACAAGCCCGTTTATTCCTCAAAGTGGATCAGAGAGGCAGGAGAGCTGTTTAAACTCACTGGCTTGGCTGCTGTGTTAAGAAATAGTTAGCCTACGCACATTGTTGTCTTTCACTCTGTTTCTTTTCTTTTTACTTGTGCATTTCTTCCCTTCTCTCCCTTGTGGGCTGTTGCAGTCATCTGTCCAGTAATTTTGCTCCAGGTCCCGTTTTGTTCGTGGCTGCTCTTGGCACAGACACAATTCGCTCCACGTCTTGTGTTTTTTTTCTTCTGTCAAATGTAAGTGTCGGTACAAAAATCACACACACACATTCACTGCCTGGGAAGTCACGGCAACAGAGAGCAGGAGTCATGGTGTCACCACACGCTGGAGCAACAACAGGAGAATTATTCAGTCTAATCTATTTAGAGTACATAGTGACAAGCACGACGTAGAAATTAATACACATTGGCGGTGTGATTGTTTTTATCAAGTTGGATCTCGACTGTTGGTGCTTTGAAGGTGAAGCCAGAAATTAAAACAAAGGCACCCTGCTGAGACTGTGTATTTTTCTAAGAGTAAAGAGCAGGTCTTTTAAATAAAAAGCATATCAAATCCAATTTAAAAAGTGTGTTGTCCCCCAAAGACTGTGGATTAGATTTACGACTGGATAATGATTCAGCTTTATGACAACAGTGGTTTTGACTAATTCTGTAAGCGCTAACTTGGTACTCATCAAGTTAGCTACAGTGACGTCAGACAAGCAGTAAACATAAGCAATCAAACAATTAACAAACGCATTATGTATTTTTTTTTATTCTTATATAATTAATTATATAATTGTGGTTTTAAACTCATCTTTATGCAAAAAGTAAAACATTTTACATTTTTTTACATTTAATTATTTACATTGTTTCATTACCAAGCGTTATGTTTACCTCATTACCTGGAAACGGAACTGGGATGCAAGGCCATGATTTGCATTGGCCGCAAAGTGACTGAACAAGTGTCATCCATTGCAGGTTGCAGGCAGAATATCTGCTTAACCATTGACCTCTACTGTATATACCCACAGTTGGCATTTCTGAGAGGCAATTTGCAGAGACTTCATTTCTATTTCACCTCAAAACTAAGTAGATTACATTATCTGACATGTTGTAAACTGTTTGCTTGTTTACAACCTGTGATTGTTAACAATCTGACTGCTCGTGTTATTTGCACATTCATATTTAAGTGCAGCAATTTCACCATGTTCCATTTCTTTGGTGAGTACAGTGTTATTATAATAGATTGCAGTTGAAGCTGTAAAATACTGCAATTATCTTTTAAACAATGTCCTCATTAAAAAACTTAATTCTTCAGCCATATAGATAACTAGGTGATACAATATATGCATGTATAGAAAACCTGGCAGAATTTAGTTTAGCGGGAACAGAGTGCCGTAACATAACGTGCTGCAAAACTGCTGCTTTCAGATTGAAAATGAATCCGATAATACTGTGAATGTGAAACAAAAGGAAGCAAGCAGAGTAGGACAATGAGAGAAAAAGCAAGAGATACAAAAAGAGAGAGACAGAAAGAGAGAGAAAGGGGAAAACAGAGGTGTGCATTCCTGTCACGGTTGCATGATAATTACTGATTCGTCGGTTATTGAAGACCTGCTCACTGCTTTTCATTACCAGCAACAGACGTACAATGAGAGAGAGAGAGAGAGAGAGAGAGAGAGAGAGAGGGGAGGAGGAGGAGGAGGAGGAGGAGAGAGGGAGCCAGAGAGCGAGAGAGATGGAGAGGAAGCAGAGATAGGAATGAGGAGGAGAGTGGTGGTGGTAGTGGTGGTGTTAGGTGTTGGGGGAGGTTACCACAGGATGGCAGGGTGAGTAAGGGCATTAGAAAAGGGAAGGGAGATGGGAGAGGAGGAGAAGGTGGAGGTTGTCTGTAACTGGGAACGAGTGAGAAAAAGAGAGAGAGAGAGAGAGAGTTAGAGAAGTATGAAAAAGCAGAGTGTGTTCCAACCTGGTCTGTGTGGTCCTGGGGGAAGCTCCACAGCACGGTTGGATCTAGAGGTAATTGACAGACAGCATTAATCAGCTGGTGAGAAACACATCGTCTTCGCTAGCTGCCTCAGAACACATACATATTAATGAGAGGGGTGGGGGCAAGGGTGGCTGCTTCGAGTCTGTGCACGCACACACACACGGAAAGCGAGCGAGCGAGCGAGCGCACACATTGAAAGACAAGAGACAGAGAGTGTGTCTCGGCTGTATGTGCTGTAAATATGCAAATCTATATCCTCAGTGTAGATATGATAGCTTATATTATACACCAAATCATGCACGTTTAAGAAAGCCACATCAGCACATATACTCGAGTTTATTTGCTTAATTATTCGTACATTGATACAAGCCTGGATATTTGCTGGATTGAGGCAAATGCTTCGCTAAAGGTTTATTATTGTTATTATAATAGGGGTTGTAAAGGGGTTTGTGATATTTTTTTCCGCAAACAAATTAGTGCTGCAGGATTTGCAAAGTAGATGAACCGATTTGTAGATTGACAGGAAATTAACAATCTATCTGATATTGCAAAATAACGGTTATGTCAGTTATGACTAACATAACTTATTATGAATTGATTAGTCAGAAACAGATTAATCTACAGTAAATGGTGATTTTAATCAAAAGAATATGCCTCAAACACACTCGTAAATGTTATCAATGTTTTATTTTAATACTAAAAACATGTCAAACAGCAAATAAACAGACATTCTCATATTATTGGATGAGTACTGTTCACTAAAGAAGCAGCACTTTATACTTTGACTTGAAAAGTGCTCTAAAGTTATAATTAGTATTATCACTATTATAATAAAGAAGGAACTGACAAATTCTTAGGATAAATATATCAAACTGCAAGAAATTGTTTAACAATTTGTTTAACCAGCCAGTCTACGAAAGCAACTTGTTTACATCTCTCTTAAAGTAATGTTCCAAAAATAATAATATATGCTTCGTTTTTTCTCTAGCTTATACAATGTGGTTGAAAGGAAGCAGCCAGCCAGCCACATTCTGAACACAGGGGTCTCTGGTAAACATGGTTTCCACAGCTCCAAGGTCACCCTGTGACCTCCGCAGGAACAGCGAGGGTTTGAAGAGACGTGCTCCCACATGCAAGGTTCACCATCTCGGCCACACAAAAGGCCCACAGGCTCATGAACATACCAGACTTCTTTATCTGGGAGTAACAAACCTTTTGATAGCAGTGATACTCCAGCAGAAAAAATAATAAGCGAGTTCAACAAGTGTAAACCAGAAGGTTGATTATTGTATGACCATTTTAACAAGGGTTATATCTGCCTGTGAGCCTAACCTACGCATATGCTCAAAAAGCTGAACATAAACAGCTTAAAGTCAGAGGAGAGGGGCAGTAAAGAGGATATGCAAAGGCTTGGTGTGTAGAGAAGCTTGTAAAGTGGCAGGCTGCCTGAGGGGG